AAAGGTAAGTCAACTGTATTGAAGTATTGATTAGTTCATGATGTGGACTGCGATTAAGAATCTTTCAAAGGGTTCCACTTTTTAAAATTTTAGAGACTAGAAAAAATGGTTTGCGATGTACAGATGTCCTTGTAGTCATGCATTTATTTTAGGAGGACACCTTCCTTATTTATCAATAACATTACCTTTGTTGCTGATAAAAAAAAAAAAAACTTTCGCAAATGGATGGCCCTCTATTTCTGAAAAAATATGGACATACATGTGCATAATAATAAGTGATGGGCCTATATGGAGGGTCTTCTCAAATAAATATCAATTTCTTGTTTCGGGGAGCCATCTTATTTAAAATTTTTATTTTTCTTCCCCCATTAATTTTTTCAGAACCAAAATATCCTAGATTATTATTTATTGTTATTATTTATTTATTTTAATAAGTACCAATATCTTGATCATTAATGTACATTATTGTTGTATAAGCAAGTATGAAGTACCCTTTCTTTCTCTTTTCAAACATACTTAGAATTTCTAAAAGTAGTTAGTTTATGTTCAATGGGGTAAAAAAGAAGTTTCACTTTGATGATTCATTTTCTCGTTCTAATTACGCATGGATTTTGATTTTTTAGGAGGAAGGACCGAGTCCCAACTACAGTTGATGGTGAATAACTTTCCTTTTTTCTCATTTAATATATGAAAGGTTTAATTGCACATATCTGGATAATTATTGTGTATTATGCTTTATTATTAAGAAAGCTAGAGACCCAAAATTTTATACCCAACAAATTCACTCACAATGGTGTGGCAAGAAAGTTGGGCCTATGTATTTCGAATGTGCTGACAAATCAAAAGTTGACACCATTATGCCACATCATTGTGAGTCAATTTGGATCTCAAAATATTTTCCTTATTATTTATTAACTTAATGTTCAGTATTTTCGGCATCTTCCTGTCCTACCATCTATATCACACTAAAAATATTTTGGCATTGCTTGTTGTGAGCTTCATATTTCTTGATTCCCAACTAGGTTAACCTTTTGACCAACCTTCTCTTTACTTATTGTTTCCTTCTTTTGTGGACAAAATGGGATCACAGAAGAAAGGCCATAAGTAAGCCAATGGGTGAAATTTTGGTAAGCTAGATAAATTCAAGGTCACATTTTCAGACTAAGACTACGAATGCACCCCAGGAAAGGCCACTACTTGCAAGAAAGCCAAATTGATTGGTTTAATTATCCAAGCAAACCATTGTAGTCATGTAACAATATTATAAATTGAATTAAATAGTTGAAACCATTGTTTGTGGTTTGGGGATCCATGAAACATTGTGAAGGCAGCTCCGTCCTTGAAGTACTAAAAAACTTGAAGTATAGGTGCTTTCCGAGTTATAGGAAGATATTATGTGAGGAGCCGAATCCTGCCACTACTTATCATTGGCAAACCAAATGAAAATAGCTAGTTGATAAACTAATCTCGTGTTCTTGATCTTTGAAAGTGTTTGGTTTTTTACACTTCCATTTATAGACACCGGTGAGGTAAGATCCTGGGTGAGATCCTTAGATGTAGTCGGGAGGTAAAGATCCTACAAGTGAGATCCTGATCCTTGGCCACACTCATTGTGGTGATGTGTCACTTACCATTAATAGAGATAGACACATGTACCTACCACAACACAAACCTAGACTTGTTTGTTTCATGAAATTAAACAACCAACCTAAATCCCTCACTCTACCATTACTATAATCAGATGTCTTTAACAAAAGTTGAATTAAAATTAAATAGGAAAAAAGCTTTGTTAGGAGCTATTTATGGCTTTTTATTCTCCTAGTTAAGAGTCTTTTGTGGTGTCAATAATTACCTTTCACTCGCTTAATTAAAATCTTATAAAATTGACCCGAATCTTTGCTAAATATTTGATCAGGGGTACAAAGTTCTATTGCATCTGTTTTGGGTAAGTCATACTATATAGATATAACAACACGTCCAATTAGCAACACAATTAATGTTGTTTGGGAGGGGAAAATGAGAAACACACTTAACCTTTAACATATCATACTTATATAGATATACTAGATTTAATATGTACATCAAAATCTTATTGTAAGGACCAATCTCCTCAAAGTGTCCTATTCCATGGTTTGTCAAAATCTAGATCTTGATCTTACAATCCATTTTGGGCACAATTGATCCGATCGTTGTTAAAAAATCCCTCACAATAGGATCTTTCGATCCTGGTAAATAGGATCTTATAACATTATTGAATCCGATCTGAATCTGATCCAATTTGTAAGCCTTGTTTGTATTGTATGGCCTATTTTATTATAAATTTTATATTTTGCTGTCTAAAATACCAATTTATGTGGTCCAAATGAAAACAAATATTATAAATATTACAGGTAATTGAAGAAAACTAACTAATCGGAAAAACAAAACTTAGCACTTTAGCGAAGTCTGAGGAGGGCAACAGTATGCAACTTTACCCCGAATTTTGGAGAGGATATTTTGTGACTAGGAATCCGCCTCCACCAAGGATGCTAAAAAAAACCTTATCATCGGCCAAGACCGTCTTTTGAGTTGTCAAATCTATTCTCATATCCAAACATTGTTAAATATTTTTCTTTTCACTTTTATGTATTATTGTTAGATTGCAAAATGTTTTATTATAAAACTTCTTCTTCTTCACCTTCTTTTGATGAAATGCAAAGCTTTTACCTTCGACCTCTAGTTTTCCATTGTATATATCTATATTTATATTTTTACATGAGTATTATATTAATACAATATCTTCACTTCTTTTTGTATAATTTAGGTTATTCTATGTAACTTTTTAAGAAATGTTTATTTAAATTAAATTATTATGTATTACTCTTTCAGTAGGATCTTACGATCTTTTTATTTGTCTATGATCTGATCCTGTAAACTCTTCCAACGATCCAATGTAGGATCCGATTTTAACAACCTTTCTCTATTCTTGTTTTGCAGACAATTAATTCTATGGATTCTACGATTCTGTGGATTCTTATGTTCTAATGATGTTGAGTGGTTTATGATATTAATAAAATAATGAAATAGTGGATCTTCATTAATTTGTGTCAAATGCCATTTTTTGACCGTTGAAAATTTCTAATCGGTTAGAGTATTTTTACGGGAGAAGTTTCTCAACCATAATGGTTGCGCAGTGTCATTCTAGAAAATAAAAGCTACCTTGGCATGGATCATTATTCAAATGACAAGACCAGTATCTGCTGCCTAACTCTGGATAAAAATCTCTATATAGGTTTATATATGTTTTATATATAAATTACTGTTTTGACTTTGAAAGAACCAATTTTAATAGAGACAAATGACAATCCATTTTTGTAAATCGTCGTCTTGTGTGAAGAGCATCGTGGCTATCAACGGCTGGATTATCCTGTCTTAAAGCTAAGTATTTGTTGTGGACGGCCATTTTCTTGTGGTGGTGAGCAGTTGTTAGGACAAGGCTGCTGCTGCGAGGTTAGTTTTTTAGTCAAGCATATTACTTAGAGTCAGTTTATTCTTCGTTCTTGATCTCGTGTGACTACTCTGTAACGGTGCTAGTGCCTTTTTGACTCTTTGTACCTGTTTATCCTGTCTTGTAAGGTTTAGTGCTTGTTTGTTTTCAGCCTTGAGAAGCATCTTATTTCTGTTACTTCTTTTTCCTTTCTTAACTTTCTTTAGGTTCCTTTAGTGTAACCAGATTGATGCATTAAAATAGACTTATCTGCACTTGACTTTAATGTTGTTTCCCTCAGATTTCAGTTGAACTTGAAAAAGCTGTTGCATTACTTGTTGGATTCTTCTAAATCTCTTCAAGGGATATCCACTAGATTAAAAGTCAAGCAGCTTGCTTTTATCATGTGGATTAGGTTTTTTGTGGCTAAATGCTGGTTCTTGTTCTAGGTTGTTAAATAAAAACTAGTGGAAAGGTTTTAAAAAGCAATCGCAACCGTTACGTAACGCCGTTACGTAACGGTTGTGGTAGTTACCACCACCCGTTACGCGTCTTTTGCAGTGTGATTGAGATTCACAGGTGTGGGTTGTAGCGGCTCCGTACGCCGTAACGGTGCCTAACGGCCATACAGCCTATTACGCACCGTTACATAACGGTTCCGAACTGCTTCTTTAAAAAACACACAAAAAAAAGCTAAAAAATGGGAGAAGAGGATAGAGAGAGAAGAGGAAGATGGAGGAGCAAGAGATAGGGAGAGAAAGAGAGGAGGAGAAGTTGAAAAACATGTTATTGATTTGTTGAAACTGTAAGAGACTTATGCTATTCTATTCAGCTACTATCATCAACTATTTTGTTGTATGTTGTCTATCTATATATCTAAAAAAATAATATAAAAAAAAATAATGAAATAATATAATAATATATAATAATAATAATAATAAGTGTGGTCATTATCTATTTGGCTTGATTATATATATATATATATATATTTTAGGCTCTTATTTATTTCTCTTACTTTTCATTGTTTATCTTATATATAATAGTTAGTGATTGATTTTTTTGTAAAATATCTAGAAAACATAACACCTATAATTATATGTTAATACATGTCAATTTTTTTTGATTAATTTATTTTGTTTTTATTTACAAGTTATCCAAAAAGAGAACAAATATTCAAGTGATCCAAATAAAAAAAAAAAAAAAAAAATTCTTTATAATTTATTTTTTAATTTTTATAGGATTATACTTAAAAATTTACAAAAATTGATCAATATTTATTTTAAAACCCAATGAATATGATCATGGAAAAAAAAATATGCTTATCGGTAAATTTTTTCAAATTGTGTAAAAAATAAAAAAATTCACGGTTCCTGTTACCGCAACCATTACACTATGGCCTTTACACCCTGCAACCGCAACCGCGCTACTGCCACCATTACGGCGACCACAACCGCTTTTCAGAACCTTGGGTGAAACTAATAAAACGATTTGAATTGGTCCAATGCCTATGGTTTGGTCCGGTTTTTGAGAGGAGGTTAGGTTCCAAGTGATTAAAAACTGTTGGTTTGGAAAATGTTAGAAAATTTTGATGTATCTATACACATTTTGTAAAAGTTGTTTGGAAAATATTATAAAATTTTTAAGTATGGTTGTAAATATTTTGGAATGCTTTTATAGGTAGATATCAGTTTTTTCATTGAACTAAATAGTTTGAATATTGTGATGAATTTTCTAGCCTGTAATCATAGATTGAACCGGAATCAAGCCGCTTTGTTCTGTTTGGTTCCAAAAGTTCATGCTTCAGTTTGGTTCCTAAATTTCTAGAACTGTTAATACTAGGTAGATACTTAGTTCACCTTAAAATTTTGAACCAAACCAGTCTGTTAACACCCCTATCTTCTTCTTTGACCTTTGTTATCATGGCGCGTGGATTGCAACTCATCAAATTGGAATTGTCCTCTTAGATATGGTGTCCATGACATGGAAGGAAGTGCTAAGAGAATCTATGAAGCTGCTTTAGGCACACCCGAGGGTCATTTGATTATGTTTCTTGCTCATAATGGTCCCACAGGTGTATCACTCTACTAAAATCTACCAGTTTCTCTAGGACAAACTGATCTCTTTATATTGATAATTCTATAGTAATATCTTATCAGGTCTAGGTTCTAATGTGAACGACATCTGTGGGAGAGATTGGGTGTTTGGAGGTGGTGACCACGGTGATCCAGGTATGAATTTCTTTGTTTCATTAGGTTACCCATCAGCCAGACCTATTAAAGGGAGGCCGGTTGACAGTTTTACTGAAAAAGATCTGTTGTCACTTTTTTACCAGTCAGATGTAATCTTTTCATTTTTTTTTTTTTTTTGTTGTCAAGATGGATTAACATTTAATTATGATGTTTACACGAGCAATTTATGGTACAGACTTAGCATGTGCTATTTCCCAGTTGAAGGAGACAACCAAATTATCTATCCCTTTGGTTGTGTTTGGTCACATGCACAAAGAACTGGCTTATGGAAATGGACTTCGAAAGATGATAGTGGTTGGGGCTGACAATACTACATACCTAAATGGTGCCATTGTTCCTAGAGTTAAAAGATTGGTGGCTGATGAACAAGCTACAAACGGCAGAACCTTAATGAATAATGAAACCTCAGTTTCTACACCAAATGCAACAGGCACGGTACGAGCTTTCACTTTGGTAGAGATATCGGATGGAAAATTGAAGAAGATAGCAGAGGCTTGGGTTTCTGTTATCGGAGACAAGACAGCATTAGAAGAGGAACACATACTATACAGCAGAGGTCAAGGCACCGGGATTTCTGTGTAGTGGATTCCCTTTTAGCATGGCTTGTCATACACTTAGGTAACTTAACCTTTTGTGTCCATTGTCCTTGCATAATCTATATATATTAAAGAGATGCATGCTTTTGATACCCATATGTATATGTACTGTTTTGCCCCTTAATAGAAATATGTTTTCTTTGTGCTACAGCATGTTACCTTGACGCACTGATTTGTTGATCAATTTGTGTTCCCTTGTTTCCCAAAATCTGAAACGCAATTGTGGTTATGATTCATAGAATCTTACGATTCACAATTCAATTCATATGATTCGGTTCGAGTTTCAAACAAAATGATTTGATTCGTGTAGTTGAATTATAAATTGAGTGAATGTTACTATTCAATTCACGACAATTGATTGTGATTCACTATGGTTTACTGCGATTTAAATAATTCAGTTTGTTTGCATATTACATGAAACAATGTCGTTTTCACGAAGTATAAAAAAATAATTAAAAAAAAGTGGTTAGCTAATTATATTGATATATATTTCATTTTAAACATGGTGTATTTTATATGTATATACACAATTTTACTATTCACAATTCAATTTGGGATTTGATAACAGTGATTGTGATATTTATTTTGTATTATGTTTAATTCCCAGGTCATGAGATTGACTATTCTGTTGTAGGATAATATTTTTGATGATTTGATTCTAATTGCTTTACAAATATGATTTTCTTATGTTGTTAAATTATTGTTCTCATATGGGGCCTTTTCCCAAATTAAGGCAAAATAGCAACCTATTACCCAAACTAGGCCTAGTTTGGACAGAATTCCCAAACTAGGCTAAGACGTGGTTGTGAACCACGCTTTCACCATTTATCTGACCCTCCCGTAGAAAATTTGTAAAATCGTAAAAGTATGGTTACAAACCACGCTTTTAATTAAGAAGAAATGTTTACAAATCACGCTTTTAAGTTTTTTTTTTTTTTTTTTTTTTCCATAAAACGTAGTTTCAAACCACGCTTTTAAGTGAAACTTTTTTTTCGAGAAAACGTGGTTTTGAACCACACTTTCAATATCATCACGCACTCACTCTTCTCTCTCTCTCTCTAACACACAAACACTCATCACTCTCACACACACACACATCAAACCAATATAATTTTTAATATATATAAATTTTATTTTATAAAATTGAGACCAATATTAAATATATAATATATTTTAAGGTTTAAGATTTAAGGTTTAATTCTTAATTTTTTTTTAGTTTATGTTTTTAAATTTTTTTAAACATTTTGTTCAAACCAAACGCGTTTGTAATTTATGTTTTTCTAAAAATAAACAAAAATCAGTTTATAAAATTTTTGTAAATATAAACAAAAAACGCTACTTAAACTTTTGATTTATTTTTATAACCTAAACCACTTGCCTATTTCCATTGAGTAAAATTAAAGGGAAAATAAGCAAGTCATTAAACTTGATGAAAAAGGGTATTTTAGACATTTTATGTATACCCACATTGATTTTAATAACTAAATTACTCTTTTTCTATCTATTTTATTAAACAAACATAGGCAAATCATTTAGATTGAAAATAAATCAAAAGATTAAGTTTTAAATTGATAAAATTAAAAAAACTTAAGGTTGTTTTGTTACAAAGCTCAAACACGGTTTTTCTTGTTATTGTCCCTAATTTTTTTTTTTTTGGTTGGCTAAAGAGAATAGGAGGAGGTGACCAACTTATGGCAACCTTTCTTGGGCGGGAAGAAGAACCTTCCCATTGGGGTACCGGACATAAAGGGTCTAGACAAGTCTAAACATGAGTCGCAAGTGCTTCTTCTACGTGCAGATCCTCTAGAAGTGAGGGTTGTTTGGAGTTTGGTAGAGTGATACAAAACGATGTTTTGTTTAATATAAAAGAAAATAAAATAAAATAAAAAAGAAGAGCTAAACAGAGAGAGATCACAGGCGTTAGTTTTTCATCAATAACCTCTCTCGTTGGCAGTAGCTGCCTCTTTCCCCCACCCTATCGACCATTGCCAATCTCTACCCCACCCGCCATTTTTTACCTATTGAATCCCGCCTCCCCCCTCCCCAAAAAAAGAAAACAAACACACACACAAAATGAAGTGAGAGATTGCTTGAAACCATTGTCGGGAAACCATCACCGAAAACCACCACTACACCACAACATCACCCTCATTTTTCTCCTTCTTTGCTACTTTCTTCTTTCATCCTCTTCTTCTTCTTCTTCTTCTTCTTCTTCTTCTTCTTCAATGGGTGGCGGAGGGTGGGGTAAAGATTGGTAGCGGTTAGCGGGGTGGGGGGAGAGGAGGCTATTGTCGGCGAGAGAGGTTGGTGATGAAGAATCAGCATTGGCGATCTCTCTCTTTTCGTTTCGTTTCGTTTTGCCCTCTTTTTTTTATTTTTTTATTTTTTGGCCTTAAACAAAGCATTTTTTTTTTTTATTGAGATAAACAAAATGATGTTGTTTTGTATAAACTAACGCTATTTTGTATCACTCTACCAAACTTTAGATAACTCTCACTCTAGAGGATCTGGGCGCGCTTCATCTTGGTGAGTTAAATCATAAATTGACCCAATCCTCATCAAAGGGGCATAAAATGGTAAGGAGCCAGTGGCTCTAGAGTCTTGTGCTCCCAACGACCACTAATGAGACTCAAACCCATTACTTTATGTCCACCAAATAATTTAGAAGAGCATCTCTAATAGGAGAGGCATTTGGAGTAGACATTTTGTTTAGTATCATTATAAAATGGAGCTCCAACAGGACAATAAGCAATATGATAAATATGTTGCCTCATCATCTCTTATGTGGAGAGCCTTAGGGGGTATGCTATCAATTTTAGAAGTATAAAATTGAAAAAATGACTTGTATTCAAAAAGATTATTATAAAATTGAAATTATTTTATGACTATCCAATGATATTTCCACTAATATGGTAGTTAAAATGGCATGACACAAATGGCAGTGCCCTTGTTAATTAATTGGAATTGTGAATGTTATAGCTAGGTTTGTAATCCTATTCTTACAGGGGATGATGGGTGAGCACTAATGGACTTTGATAAGCTTTTGTGCTTGTACTCATGTGCTATATATATATATATAGCTTGTTTGGGAAGGAGGGTTGGGTTAGGTTTGGGGCTATTTTAGCAATAAAAAGACAAAATAAAGTTTTTAACCCAATAAGACAAAATATCACATCCAATCCATAATCATTACATTATTTCTCTAACAAAAAGTCAAAAAAGCCACAAAGTCCTTTCCAAATAAAACTTTTTAGTTCCAGGCTAAAATAGACAAAAAGTCAAAAAGCCAACTCACTTTCCAAACGAAACCGTAGTAGGCATTAAGCGTACCATTATGGTTTTACTTTAGATCTGTTGAATTCATTTGTTAATCATTTTAGTTTATTATGGTCTTTGTTAGAACATGGGTGTCAAAAGTGCTGTGAAGCAGTAGTCACTTGAAAGGTTATAAATAGAGTTTCAAAAAACTTGTACAACTCACTTGCTTCTATGGCTGGCAAAGTGTGTACATTGCCAACTTGTATTATAATTAACTAATCAACCACACACACAAATTAAAAAAAACAAACAACTAATGTCTAAAGCAGTTCCCAACCACTAGGCTACCCTTTTGTCTCAATTGGCGCCATACCAATAGAGCCATGCTTGTTTAGACTGACTAGATTAGGTTGGATTAACGTTCCTATGACTGCTAGTCCTAGGACTACGAATCCCTTTAGATTGTGTATCTTGTCTTATGTTTGGATTAAGTTCGGATTATAAGGAGGAACTAACAATTCAGACTTTGGCTTAGTCCAATTTATATCCCATCTCCCTCTGTGAGATCGAATAGTCCATTATATGTGGGATACCATATCTGGATAAATTGTTAGTTTGTACTTCGATTGTTTAACCAAATATCGGATTAATAATTTTATTGGACTATTAGTCCAATCCCAAGCTCATGTCCACCCAAACAAACATGTCCTAGATGTAACTTGTCTCACGACTCAACATCTAGTCTAGTTAGTCATGGGAGAGATGAAAGTCGCTACCAAGAAATCATCACTTCCAATAAATCATCAACTGAATTGGTTTAACTAAAGCAAAAATACAACCAAAAACCAATTAATTTAAAATATCAATTAGATTTGTTGGACAAATATTAAATAATTGACATACAAATATGCAATGAAAATTTAAGGAAAAGAAAAAGAAAAAGAAAGAAGAAAGTAAGGACCGAAAAAGGGGGACAACTCATATGAGGTAGTCAAAAGCTCCCTCCTCCATGGGCTTGGCTTTTCAAGTTTGTTACCTCACCCGAGAGGCATCACAACCATGTTTGCCGCCCATATGTGTCCTTCATTTGCAATCAAAATTGCCTATTCATCCAAAAATTATGTGTTGTCACAATTTAATTTTTATTAGTTAAAATAATGTGACTTAATTTGTTTTATGTAACGTTTTTTGAAAAATAACACGATTAGTGTCATGCAATGAATGACGTTGACCGCTAATACCACTAAATAACTTATCTTATTCACCTGATGGTTAATTATTGGAGTAATTATTAAGTATTTTGAAATATTATGTGACATATTGTCTATTTTGTGAAGTTACAATTTTTCATTTACCTCAAGCACCACATAGATGACATCACATGATACTCTAAAACTACCTACTAATTTTCCTCATGCATGATTTTTCAAGGGTCCTAGTGAAGCATGGCAGATTCAAATCATTTAGACAATCCTTCTTGATGATGTGTCTGGACTTATTTATATATATACATAGTTGGTAGTGTATGAATATATTTAAAATTTATTCTATAGAGAAGTCCCGTAACCGTGTCTCAAAAAATTCCTTATTTGCAAAACTAAAAAAATAGTATGAGCAACTTAAAACTTTGCTCACTTCAGCTCATTGTAGCCCTATCAATTGGTCAAATTAAAACATTGACTCAATCCAACAATTGAAATTTTTTTACATGAATAAAAAATTATTCTTTCACCAATAAAAAAAATTACTACCTGACCGAGACATTTGATCAATATATATGACATGGTATTAATGAAGTGAAGGAAATCAACTTGAATTTGACTGCCAACAGTCTCTTAATTCACATCCACAGTGCTAGCAAAAATACTTGTATGCAATTTAGTTTAATTATATATAAATGCTACTT